AAAAAAACAATCCTTTATTTAGTCCTTACGTACAGATATCACCCCAAAACATCGTTAAATTGCATTCGATAACGGTGAAAATGGATATTTTTGTTGAAATATCATACCCGGAATTTTTCGTCATTACAATATTTCCTTTACTTCGCACGAGGAAGTAAAATCTTTCATTTACTTGGAATAAACTGAAACTGTAACTAAATTCTAAATTAGTATTAATAACAGAGATATTATAACCTTGTGTTGAGAAATTATCTAGCTACACCTTTCTTAATTTAACATCAATAACGCAATCTTCACTTTTCTCATGCTTGCTTCTATTTTAGTTAAGTGTCATCTACTGCCTCTCCCCCCTTTTTTTTCTGTCTTCACCTACGTAAAACGTAAACTTGTAATTATAGAATATCGTAGAGAAGGCATTAATTGTAATTATATAATTATGGCATCATTTCTATGCTTGTGTATGGCTTTATTATGTTTTAGTCAATAAATTATGCAAAAGATAAAATAGATCCACGACTACGTATGACTACTTGTTCAGAAAAATAATCACCAGAAAAATCATAAGCTTCAGTTGTCTTTTACTAGAACAGACCAATTTTAAATTTTCATCATTATATACTCCATCTCTCTCTCTCTCTCTCTATATATATATACAGGGTGTATCAATACAGCGGTAACAAACTTTCAGGAGACATAGAGTACTTCTAGGTGATGGGAAATCACATAGCAATGCGGGGTCCGAAACGCTTTCCTGGCGCGGTAGTGTCAACAGAAAAGTCAAAAAAGAAAGGACACGAACGGGGTGAGTAAACATGTTTATTATTCGGAGTGCAACAAAAACAAAGAAACAAACAAACAAAACAAAACAAAAAAACAAAGACAGGTAACGATCAACAAGGAAGGTGTTGGAAATTATGACTCGGACGTGATGCAGGAACCGTGCGTCATGCATCTTCCATGCTGATTTTTTCAAGTCTCCTGCTTAAAAAAAAATCCTAATGACTCTAAAAGTTTAAGAAATAAGAAAAAGGCACTAGCTTGTCATTATTTATTCTTAAGTTTCGTCCCACTTGGCTAATTTCTTCTGAAAACTTAGCAAGTTAAAGTAAACTACTTATAAAGATTAATTAAACATGTTAGAATCATTTGAAAAAAAAAATATCAAGCTAAGAATTTAAGATTTAGCCATGAATACATTTGAGTTACAGTATATGACCAAAGAAAATGTCTTACAGGCATCAATTTTAGATTTTCGGATAAAAAATAAATATAAATCTGAATTGTTTTATTTTTGGAGGTTTTGATAAATAATTAATGGGAGTAATTTAAAATATTTTTTTTATTTTGTTACTAAAATTTTCAATTTCCATTTAAAAAAAAAAATTCTGGCCGTTAGCTGTTTTCAGTCCGTCAGCTGTTGCCGTGCATAAGGCCCGCATGAAACCTGAGTTTGAGACCATTGCTATAAAGCATTTTGGACACCTATGCAAATGACGATATCTGCGGTCCTAAGGTACGACAAGGAATCCGCCGGTACATATCGTGTAGAAAACAGCATCGGCTTTAGTCGCATGCAAGACGCCTCGCAGTTCGGAGCTCTCTGATTTCGAGAAAGGTATAATTATCCGGTATCACAAATGTGGCCGATCCTTAAGGGACATATCTAGCGATCTGAAGTACTCAAAATCGACAGTGGCCTATGTGATTAAGAAGTGGAAGGTGAGCGGTGATTGTCGGAATGTACCCCGAGTCAGCAGACCAACGAAACTGGGAGATAGAGACCGACGAGTGCTGTCCAGAGAAATTCGGAAGAACCGCACCCAACCGATGGCCCTCATCCGCGAGGAGTTTCAACAGGCATCCGGGAGTATTGTTTCAATGAATACCATCCGTGAGGAAGCACATCTGCTTGGTTTTCATGGTCGTGCTGCTGCCCATAAGCCTTTGATCACAAAGTCCAACCGCGCTGCGGTTAATGTGGTGCAAAGCATATCGAAATTGGACCGTAGATCAGTGGAAACGGATTCTTTGGAGTGACGAATCAAGGTTCACCCTTCACCGTTCGGATGGCAGGGTCTGGGTCTGGCGTCTACCTGGAGAACGTCTCCTGCCAGAATGCATTGTGCCAACAGTTAAGTTCGGCGGAGGTGGAATTATGGTCTGGGGGTGTTTCTCCTGTTATGGGCTGGGACCCTTGGTCCCCATTCATGGTAAGCTCAACTCCGATGCCTACTGCACTATTTTATATGACAATGTGCTTCCTACGTTGTGGCAGTTTTACGGGTTGGACCCCTGTTGCTTTCAGGACGACAATGCCAATTGTCATGTTTCGACGTTAACCAAGGCTTGGTATGGGTGCCAATGGAGTTCATCGAATGGATTGGCCTGCCCAGAGTCCAGACCTGAACCCTATCGAGAACCTCTGGGACGAGTTGCATCGCCGAATTCAAGGGTGCATTACCCGTGCAAAATCGGTTAAGGGACTTCTATGTGTTCTCCAAGCCGACTATTCTACCAACTATTGATTTTGAATAAAGTTAGTTTTTCTTTTCTATCACAGGTGTCCAAATACTTATTGGTAGTCAATGTATAGCGAAATAAGCTTTTTTTTTTTTACACATTTAAAATATTTTTGTTTAGAAATTGTTAAATGTTTTGCTAGGTTTGAAGTTAGTGAAAATGTGCTAGACTTTGCACTTGGGATTCACTGAAAATAACACAAATCATACAAACTTTGCTTACTATTATATAAGTGATATATTACAATTTTTAAAAATATTTGTATTCAGTTCGAGTGAGGAAAACAGCATTAATCTGGAAACTATTCACAAGCAAAAAATACTACAGAAGCGCGAAGTATAAGGTTTCGAAGTAAAATGATGAGTGATAAATTATCTAACAATCTGACAATGCGTTGTAATTTGAAGAGACTCCGTTAGAGAAGTCCCGAAATTTCTTAAACATGTTATAGCCACCAAAATCTGAGATGGCATATATTAATTTCTAACATTTCGGAAATAGGTTCTCTTCTGGCGTATGACCAAAATGAAACTGCTTTAAAAATACGTACGGAGTCAATACATCAAATATTAATTTTAAGATTTCGTGGTTGTTTGATTTGCCAAAAAACTGAAACCAGTTGACCGGTTGACAAGAATAAAATAGTTAATTACATTGGATCTCTGTGACAAACAACGTTTTTAGAGTTTTTGAACATTCAAAATAATTTAAAACCTAATATTACTATACTTCATATAAAATATTTACATTCGGTTCTTTGTTGACAAATATTTTTAGCCCAAAGGGCTATTAATTTCGTTTTGGCATTTTGCGTCGATTCACTTTTCAAGCTGTTGCCACCAACTATTAAAGCCATGCATTATATTTAAAGAAATTAAATAATGAAGAATCTATAATTAATCTTAATAATATTTAAAGAAATTAAATAATGATTTCTCGCATTGTGATAAAACAACGGTACCTAGAGCCATCCAATTTTGAATAACGTAATCCCCTACCCGAATATGGGCATCTGGAAGCCTTAATTTGGAATTTGTTTTAATATCTATTTCATATTTTGTAAAGCGTTTATGACTTTTTGATTAAGAAACTCAGCGATTTTAAAGCGAGAAATGGCAACACTGTACGAACCCCCCTAAAAAAAACATTTTAATCTCCAGCGGCGCGAGACTGTGTATCCGAAATTCTAAAGATAAGCTCATTTTAAAATTATTTTGCAATATTGCTGTTAAATTGAATTTTACTGTTTAAGTGCGAAGAACATCATATTTAACCCTTTGTTGCATACAAATAATCTAGAGAAGTTATACGAAAATGTTTGTATTTTTTCTGCTTAAAATAACCTTAGTAATAATAAAAAAAAATAGTTTTATTCAAATTTTGTTTTAACTAATTGCTACAGTTTGTTCACTACAGTGGACAGCATGCATATACGTACATGCATACAAATCTCTTCCCAATGATTTACGGTCATTGCATTTGAAATCATTTCCTGCCTTGTTTGCAGTGATCATTACCATCTTCTAAATGGTAAATCTACAACTGACATGTGCATACATATCCCCCAAAATACCTTCATTTCGTCGATTGTGATGGAATTCATTTTGTTACGATTTTGTAACCTATACCTATTGGATTCTTGAAATGTCTCAAATGTTCTAGAAATTCCTTGCCAAACATAAACATTTCCAGTGGTGTTTTGGCTTGATAAGCAGTCCATTTGGGTTTCAATTCACTCTTTTCGGTAGATCTTTTTCTACCCACTCCACAATTTTCTCAAACTGACATTTAAAATAAAATGTCTAAAATGACTTATTATGAATAAAAAATGGCAGTATAGTAAGCAATATTATATAATGTTTACTATGAGAAATTGTATTAACTTGGAAACAGAAGTAGCAGCCCATTTTCCAAAAAGCAATGCTTTATTTAGTGATGCCATACAGCCATCTATGATCGACAGTTTAAAGTTCTAATAATGTAGAATGAATAAACACAGGAATGGAATCTGTTAAGGCATTTACAGAAGAATAAACAAATTTAAACTGTTATCTACTGGAGTGGACATGATGCAACAAAGGGTTAATAAGTAAAGGTAACACAGAAAACGTTCAAAAAAGGCCCCTTTGGGCGTAATGTAAAAAAAAAAAAATCTTTCAGATTTTTAATTAGTTTTTTTTTTTTTTTTTTTTTTTTTTTTCCGAGACATTTATTAATCTGTAGCATTTATTTTTACAGAATTATTTTTACAGAATTTTATTGTTACAGAACAACGAAAACAACAATTTCTCGAAAAAGACGGCAAGCGCCGCAGCTACACCACGATTTTTTTTCTCGTCAAATAACGAGCCCATCCTAACTGAAAACACCACTTCCCCTACCGACCAAGTGGCTCCGATCGCTTACGCGCGCCCCTTTTTCTCTTCTCTTCCCCTCATGCGCAATGGAGTTGAACGAAATCCGCAATTCTACTTCGGACCCGCGCGCGGGAAATCTCAAAAAGCCCGCGAATCTCTCACCTCGACGCACCTGTCTTCACGTCGCTGTTGTTGCTCCTCGTTCTTCCCGATGTTGCGCTCTTGGTTCGTCGCTCTGAGGTCCTACCCGGCCGTCCTGGGTGTGCTGTTGGCGGCGGTGGCCCCTCTGGTGCTGTCGTCTGCTGCTCTAGCGAAAAATTCCGTGAAGGTAAACGACAAACTTTTCAAGTCCTCATCGCTCCTGAAGATACTCTACCCAAAAGGGGTAAGTGAATAATTAATAATTACTCAGCAGAAGTATCTTAATTTGCAGGATTTTGAATCGGCAATTCTGGAATTTTTAAAATTAGATCATCAGTGTTTATCTTGGTTTAGTTTAGTATCAGAGTTTATCTCGGTAACACATGTTTAACTTATTTCCCGATTTAACGAATTTTTTCTGTGTTTCGAACAAAAGTTAAACAAAAAAAAGTTTAACAAACATTTTAACAGGATTTAACAAATTCACAAAAGTACTGAAGTTTTTATACCACTTTTACCTGAAAAGTGTATAAATTGGATAACCACATTTAAATCACATGTGAAGCTTATTCATGTGTACAGTAAGACCCGCTTAACGCGGGGGATACGTTCCATCGAAGTAGAGCGTAATGCGAAACAGCGCTAAGCCAGGCTATCTTAACATGTAAATAATGGGGTTAGGGGAAGACGGATAAAAAATGGTTAGGCATTAAATTTAATAATGTTTTTTTAATAAAAATAAAATCAAACATTTATTTCTTAGAAAAATAAAAACAATATAAACGCATATACTTTTAAAAACAAAAAAATTCTCAGTCAGATCATTCAGTCTATTCTCGGTTTCCAATTTTCTGCCTTTTTGTCAAGAAGACATTATGATAGATTGGCTTAATGGCATATTGCGTTCAATTTCGTCGTCAATCCATATAGAGAGTCGTTTTTTTCCATTTCCTCTATAATGTTATTTCTAGAACGGGTAATTCTAGTTGCAGAGCTTGACGTAGTTGCAGTTGCCGATGACAGTATTTTTTCTTTATTCTTAAGAATTGTCCTTATTGTTGAAGTTGCCAAAATCAATGCAGCACTAATTTGAGATTGACGTTCACCATAATCTAATCTTCTAATCACTTGCATTTGAGTTTCCAGTGAAATGCTTTTCTGGTTGCTTTCTTTTCTTGTTTTTTATTATCACCCATGATAAAAACTAAAGATCATAATATTTGTCACTGTATTAATCGTTATAGTATTATACAAACTTACAATAATGTCAACAAATGTTGTTTCAAATGATAAAAATGCGTCCACAAAGCAAGAAACACAACTACACTGTTTCGGATATGTTATTTGGAAACCTAGCGCTGCGCACAATTTCGGAGAATCCCCGGGTTGAAATAAAAGAGCGCTAAACCGAAACAGCGCTAAACGAAACAGCGTTAAGCGGGGTCTTACTGTATATTGCGTTATTTCCCGATTTAACGAATTCTTTCTGTGTTTCGAACAAAAATTTAAACAAAAAAAGTTTAACAAATATTTTATTCCATTATCAAAAGTACCGGAGTTCTTATAGTACTTTTTCCTGAAAAGTGTATGAATTGAATAATCACATGTGAAGCTTATTTAAGTGCATGTATGTAGCGTTATTCTGTCTTCGAACTTAAAGGAACTTAAAGGAGCTTAAGGAGTTATCCTGTCTTCAGACTTAAAAGGAATTTAAGGCGTTATCCTAGCTTCAAACTTTTCTTACCAAAATCTACGAGTCATTAACCATTTCTGCGTATTTCTTCTTAAATGATCTTGTAGGGTTCTTAACTCTTTTTGTCTAAGATGAACGTCGAGGAACTCAGTGAACTATGTAGCGACTTATCGCTGAGTTCCTAACACCTAAGACGTAGACTCGAGAGGCTTTAGTTACCCTTTTATTCACTCAAATAAGAATAACAGTCGGCCCCTTCTCGGGCTTAAAGGAAGCCTCTACTTGGACCTTGAGTCAGAATGAGAAATAAGAAACTAAACTAAAACTATCTAAACGAGACTTAGCCGAAGCTAGACACAATTATTTAAGTTGACCCATAAACTAGCCGACGAATATCAAAAGGCACGTAATAGTACGGCCGAGCGTAACAGCTTCTAGAGGGACTTAGCCCGAAGGCAAACACGCGCTACTAACGATTCCTAGCACTCTCTGTCGAAGTTAGTTGAACCTTCCTTAAATACTACTTCTAACTCATTTGTATTCAATGCCATTCTAAAAACTCATTCTGGTAATAAGGAGTTGTAAGTTGTAAACAAGAATTGATAAAATGGATAGTTGATTAAAATAAACTGTTATAAAATTAAAATATAGCTTAGAATCTGTAAAACATTATTAGCAAGACGAATATTGGAAGTATATGGCAACAAAATCTCGCACTGTGATATTGAAACTCAAGAGTACATAATACTCTGATTTTTGAAAACTGAGTTAAAAAAAAGCACTTGTAGTCAGGGCTAGGGAGTCAGTAGGGAAATGACCGACTCCGACTCCTGGAAGCAAATTATTTATATTAGTATTTATTATGAAATGGAAAACTGGCATTATTTATTTCTGAGAAGCAGTATAGCTTCGGCAAGATCTTCTTTGTTGGAGAGCCATAGATCAGATGTGATAAACTTCAGAGCTGAGGAGTCTTTCTACAGTAACTTTAGGAAGAGCTTTTACTGTTAGGGATACTTCTTTTAACTTTTTGGGATAGATTTTGATAAGTTATAAAAGCGATGTCTTGCAAATGCAATCATATATATCTATTTCTTCATAGGCCGTGCAGAAATCTTGTTTGTATTTTTTCATTTTTATATCTTGAGTATATTATCTTTATCTTATCTTTATATTATCTTTGAGTACTTATCTTTATCTCTTGAGTAAAGGCTCTTGGTTTTTTTTAAATTTTCATTCGCTTTGCCTCAGCCTTTTCAATATTATCCAAAAATATTTCCCAGAATCTAATTCATCAACGGAAAAGGATGATAGAGGCTCAATTGCAATATCTGCAGTTTGACTGTCCTGATTCGAATTCTCCAATTGTTCTGAGAATAATTTCATTCTTAATGAAAGTTCATAGATGGCTTTCTTTGCCTTTTTAATTGGTTCGTCATCCAAGAAAATTCCGTGTTTCGGATCTCCATATATTGAACCCAACAAGATCTCATTGTCTAGCAAACTAGTTTCTCTTTTCTTTATTGAAGAAATGATTCCTTTTGCAATAAACTCTCCACTTCAGAAAGAACAAACATCCCATTCTCGCCTCCTGTCAATTCTTCAGATTGCAGCTTTTTTGTGGCTATATATGTTATAGAAAGAAGAGTTTCCAATTGTGCAAGATCATTCCACAGTCTTTCTGTTAATGAAACATTAGGGTTATTTACAAACAGTTCTTAATTCTAAAAACCTCGTTATGATCAAATATGTACTTCCTTATCGCGTTGCTCGATCGATAATTGCTCCTTTTTCTGCTCGCTTCCTAAGAATGGCATCAATTTTAGGACTTGCTGCTTACCTAAATTTAGCAGTGAGATTTGTAACTAAATGAATCAGTTTAATCACTAATGGCAAATATCACATCCATCCTCCTCCCTTATATTTATTTATTAATAGGTCAATAAAATAGAAAATAACTATTTATTAATGTATACAGTTCATAAATAAAAATAATAACTCAGGTTGTCATAGATTATTTTTCAATTCATTTTAATTTCGTTTCAAATTCAAAGTGTCCAACGAAAACTGGAGTCGGAGTCGACCTGTTTTTAGCGACTCCAACTCCGAATCCTTTTACCCGAAAATCTGCCCGACTCCGACTCCACAGCCCTGCTTGTAGTTTGACATTGATTTTGAACAAAACTCTCTATTTTTCTAGGATGATCAGACTCAGATCCCCCTTTTTGGGGGAGGCAAGGGGGGAAGAATTAAGCCGTCTCTCTCTTTTTTTTTTTATTAATTTGAAATTCTTTACTAATTCAGAAGTCAAACAACAAAAATCAGCGTTATATTCACAAAATTTTCACAGGACTAGTTTCGATGGTTTTACCGAACCATCATCTTCAGCTGCAAAACCGCAAATGAACAAGATAGGAAATAATGATTAGATAAGATAAGGAAGCCTGGACAAGAATAAGCAAGTGGCGCCATCTGTTGGCGAAACCAGAACTAAAACATAATTTCTCTAAAAGCCGAAGGCAAATTTGGATTGGAATTAGGATCGTTAACTAGAACAGAAAGATTTTTATGAATGTGAAATGCCTCTAGAAAATCCAGTTCTCCAATGGAAGATGTTTTTTGAATAATTTTGGCAGCAGAAAAATTGAAAGTGTGATTTTCGGACCAACAATGTTGAGCAACAGAAGACTTCTGTGTTTCCTTTTTTCTAACATATGCCTCATGTTCTTTGACGCGAAATTTTAAGGCTCTCTTAGTTTGGCCAATGTAAATTAAACCGCACTGGCAAGGAATCCTATAAATACCCCAGGAATTCATATCCGGAATGGGGTCCTTGAGTATAGAAGTTGGAATTTTATTGATGGGAGAGTAAACAACCCGAAAGTTAAATTTCTGCAAAATATGTGCAACTTTATAGCTAATTGATGGAAGGAAGGGAATGACAACAGAATTTTTATAATCTCCTAAAATAAGAGTGTGGCTTTTAGTGTGTTGAGATGAGAATTTTTTAACTGCTTGATTAATAATGTTGGGTGAAAAGCCCTGTCAATAGCTATTGCTTTTAAATAATTTAGTTCTTCATCAAGGGCTAGTTTGGAGGAGCAAACTTGAAGAGCACGGAAAACATAGGAATAAAATGAAGCTAACTTTTGTTTAGTCGGATGACATGATTTAAAGTGTGTGGTGGAAGGCAAACCGATGAAGGTTTACGGTAAACTGTAGTACTGAAGTTGGATGTGTTACGTGTGACCAGAATGTCGAGAAACGGAAGAGAATTGCAAGTCTCAAGTTCAAAAGTGAACTGAATAGCAGGATCAATAGCAATTCATTGTTGAAAGAACTCTATTTAAATCATCTTTATTACCTTCAAACAGGGTAAAAGTATCGTCTACGTAGCGGAACCATGCCGGGAAGTTTAAAGTTTCAAACAATTTTGATTCATAATAATGCATGTAGATATCAGCCAGGATGGGACTGAGGGGGCATCCCATGGCTAATCCCTCAGTTTGCTTGTAATATTTATTTTGGAAAACAAAATGTGTTTGTTTCAA